CTTCCTTCCTTCCTTCCTTCCTTTCCTCACCCATCCACCCATCTCCTTTCTTCCTCCCTCCCTCCCTCCGTCCCTCACCCACCCACCGCCTCCCTGCCTATCTTCCTGCCTTCCTTCCGCACTTACCTGTTGGCAGAACTGGGATAATGACAGCATTGGCCAAACTGAGCTCTTTGTCTCCCTTCCCCTTTCTCTGCACCAGGCAGCTGAGTCTCTGCAAGAGCAGCTTCCCAGCTGCAGGTATGTGGGGGAAGACCTCTTTTCTCCACAAGATTCTCCTCGAGGTTATATTATAATTCCTCAAACTCTGCATCTAAAATGCTACTGTTGTAGTCATTTAATGCTACCTAGAGATGAACAGAAGGAGAAACAAAGAGAGACATAAAGAGATGTCACTACCACTAGCACTGCCTTCCCACCAGGTACATGAACCAAGAGACACAGCGTCAGAGATTTCTAGAGGTGGGAGAGTAGAAGGAATGACTTGTCTCATCCACTGACACTGTCTATCTTCTGTGCAAGCACCTGGGGAAAATGAAGGTTCTTCTTCCCCAAAAGCTAGCCAAATTCATGTACCACTACTTTAGCTTACTGGTTCTCCTTCTAACAAGGCACCTTGATGAAGGAGGAGCAACCTCTGGAAGAGCAAGTGGGCAAGACTCTTCCTCTTTTGCTCAGAGGAAGACTTTCCACTGGGCCTCGGGCAAGTCACGTAGTGTTAAAGGCAGAAAGTTTTATCTTTGTATTATGGGTCACTGGGACTCCTTCTGCAGATAACAGGCTGGCTGAAGGAAGGCATTTGCAGTGCAGATCTGTCAAGAACCCCCTTTCAGGATGCCAAGGGAAAAATAGCTGTTGAGTTGCAACAGGGAAGAAATTAGGAGGGGGGGGGTGCAGCTTCTGCCAATCGCTGGCTTTTACTGACATCTGCTGCCTTCTGCCAGGACTGCAGCCTGAAGGTTTTGCTTGGTTCCTGAGAACAGGGAGAGACGTGTCAAAGGGAAGTAAACAGTTATTTGATGGTTTTAATTTAAACAGGAGTAAGTGGTTGGACTCCTCTGGGTCCCAACTATTGTACATTGTTGTGCTCAAATGGGACCCCCGTCTGGAGGGCTCCCAAAGCATAGTTCTAACTTCTCCCAGAACCAGACCAGCCGTCCGTAAACCAGAGGTGGGGCTTTTTTCAGGTGACTCCCCCAAGGGAAACATATTCAAGAAAAGGAAGATGCATGGAAAGGAGGACGCATGGAAATCTGACTGTGCCCCTCCAGATTTCCCCAACACCCAAGCTGGGTCCTCTCTTGGTTTCTTCTCCTTCACTCTTCTTCCCCATGGCAGCCAACGTCAGCTGAATCATTGAAGGGCGTGTTCTTTCTCTACTTTCTGCAGGGCAGCGAAGGGATGCGTGGGGCTCCTGGCACGGCTGGTTCCCCTGGGCCTCCAGGACAGCCTGGACTGCAAGTAAGTATGTGGGGACACAGTGGTCTGAATCATCCTACGGTGAAGGTGAGAAGTGAGCTGGTCTCACTGTGGTGCGAAATAATCAGCCATAAAATTTACCTGCTTCTACCCTAAGAGGTCATTTTCAGAAGTTGCAACCAACCCAGCCCATCCTTTAACCAATTGAACTTAATTCCTCAAGATTTACTGTGTCTCCTCCTCATCCATTGTAAAACAACTTGAAGTTGGAATTCAAAAGATCCATCCACTGGGACACCTTCAAAATTAACGAAGTGATTGGGGCATAAGGAGCAGGAAGATGCTTTACTGCTTTTGCACCAGAAACTATAGCTGCTATCCATCTGTAAAATATTTATTATGCATGCCTTGTATTAAAGGAGTCCCACTTCTCTAGATACCTTTGTAGGAAGAGCACAAGAGTCACAGATGTTGAATGTCAGGAAGCTCTTGGTTCAAGATATCAACCCCTTGCAAGTTTGCCATAGATAAAAATTAGGAGGAGTCTGGGAGCACTTTTTCAGATGAACCAATTTTACGAAAAGGCTTGGAAAGGGCACTTGATCAATTTAGATCTCACTAGAAGCCATGGTTTGCATAGCCATCCACTCAGACCCTAAGCCGTGATCTGCTCAGCAAGCAAATTACAATGTAACAAGCAGAACATTATGTAAATTTGCTTGACAATATTCACTTTCCATTTAGCTTCACAAGATGATATTGCAGCAATTTCCAGATGTAGGTGCCAGTTCTAACTCTGGTGCTCTATTTCCCCATTACACGGACTCCAATTTAGCATTCAGCATGTTTTGCAAGTCGACATCCAGCCATAATTTCTGATTCTGGTGGGCCATCAATTACAAACTATGCTTGATCATCATGCCAGATCATTACAGTCATCGCGTGGCTCATTTATTTTCATCTTAACAAACTATGGTTAAAATGTTCTGGCTTAGAGATATGTATGAATCCATCCATAAACTGCACTTCAGCACATGAAGCCCTGTTAATACTTACAGTGCATTAAATAAATATAAAGCATTGATTGTTGCACTTGGATTTTTTTCTCTAGGCAGTTCAAAGAAGGAATGCATATGTAATCTGAGTTTGTTTCTAGGGTCCACCTGGCCTGGAGGGACAGGATGGGAAGGACGGGAAACCAGGGTCACGGGTAAGAATGTGTGCCCCAATAGCAATTACGCCATCCTTACTTACAATGTCCACATGAAAGATCCCCTCGTAATAAGTTACATCCTACAGTCCCTGCTGTCTCTTTAGGATTGAAAAGTGACTCATTAAAACAGTTTGGTGTCAGCTGGCCTTCAGTTCCTTGAGAGTAATGGCAAGGTGGGGGTTGTACACCTTCTAGGAAAGGAGGCTGGACTCATTTACCTGGGTGGGAAGGGGGAGAAGATAGATTAACCATTCTTCTGAAATCTTGGAATGGCACAGATTTCTTCCTTTCACTAGTACTAACTCTTGGCTTCTTCTAGGGTGACTCAGGACCACCGGGACCTCCAGGAATGATGGGACCTCCAGTAAGTTGTTGGCCAGCCAAGACTCTGCTGGACTTAGGGGAAGAGGGGAGCAGAGGCTGCTGCTTCCATTGATCACTGGGTCTCTTTCCTGCACTGGGAGATCTGATGATGCCAACTTTTCAGCAGCTAGACCCTAGTTGCCCTTTTAGCATTGTCTTGACATGCAGATGTTTAACAGCTGTTTTCAGCTGTATGATTGTTGCCAGATACTAGATCAAGCCAGGTTCTTTTGTGGGGAGGTGGGTTTCTGATCAGTTGGCAGCTCTGAAGCTGAACTGTTCAGGGCCTGCTGACTTTGATCTAGTAGCAAATTTTATAGTCTCTCTAATGTTTTCTTTTTCTTCTCTCTAGGGATTCAAAGGGAAACCAGGCCACCCTGGCCTGCCAGGACAGAAGGTTAGCCTTGTCAGTCATTGCAGGATCAAAATGTGATATGTGTTCATCCTCATTTATTCAACCTCATGTCAAACTGGTAAAATATGTCCTCCACAGGATGGTTTCTCCTTGCCTGAAAATTGGAAAGGCCAAAGTAAATTGAGTCTGAATACTAAAAATCATAATTCTTACTCATATTAATCACTAATTGTTGTGATTTTCATAACGATGAAAACACAGAAGGGAAGATCTAAGAGCTCCTTTGGAACAAACATACAGTTGTGTAAACCTGTTATAACCTATCAAGACTCTTCACAGCTTACAATAAACACAACACGAAATTAAACTAGAAATCTTAAAAACACTGGTCACAGCTAACAACTTGAAAATCAACAGCTAAAAACCTTTTTTTCGAAGGTGCTTGGTCTTAAGAGCTTTTAAACCAAGACTTGCCACAATTCAGTAGAAAATGCATTCCAGAAAACTGGGTGGCCACAAAGAGAACTCTAGCAGACCCTGAACCATACAGCAAGAGGCATTTTTTCAAGAAGCCTTGATACAAACTGCAGAAATCTTATAAAGGCAATAACCAGTCCTTTGTGTTTTGCCTGGAAAGAAAATAGGCAAAAGATGATATACTTTTACCCCAGATGAGTTCTTGGAGAGCTCAGTCTGGCTTCTGTCAGACCTAGAGGTAGGCCCACAAAGAACATGTTGCAGACGTCAAGCTCGGGCACCACATTATCAAGGTCATTTTCTTCCAGTTGGCCAACCAGCCAAGCTGAACAAAGGTACTTCTGGTGGTTGCCTCAGTCTGGGAAATATGACAGAGCTTCAAATCTAGAAGCGGCTCCTAACTGCATACTTGCTTCTTCCAGAACTATGTCACCTCATTCAGAATGGGGAGATCTATCACTTCTCTAGAAAGGTGACCCTCCCAGTCAGCATTCCTGTCTTGTGTGGGTGCATTTTCAATATATTACTCTATATGCAATCCATTATCTGTGGGAGAGAAAACATTTCTGCATACATTTATTCCTGAAGGTGGGAGTCTAACCTGAGCAATGCAGCAGTTTTTATAATTATAACAGAAATGAGATTTATTTTCAGGAAATATATGATAGGGATAGGCAAAGCCTAGCATCTAGCAAACTACATCTTACCAGAAAGAGAATGTGCTCTTTATGTGTGTACCTGGGAGAAAAAGCAGAGACAGTGATTTGAGATTAGCTGTCTCAGAGATAAGGAGCAGACAGAGTATTAGACAAAGAGAGGGAGATAATAAATTCATAACTCTCTCTCTATGTCCCACTGTCCCTTGCCCTTGTGGTCAGTAGGTGACAAAGTGCTGAAGAGTGTGTGCCACTGAAGTCACACGTCCAACATTATCAACTGCAGGCCAGTGTTCATGACTGTTTCCTGACAATGTTACAAAAACAGGTTTGAGGGTCATCAACCCACTGATTGTGCAACAGCACTCCTGCTAGTTGCATGTAGAACCTGAAAAATATCGGAGACTGAGAGACATCTTCAAAGCCCCTGTTTTGAGGAACAACTCTTTCTAGGTGATCCCCAGGTGAAGTTCACCCACCAGGTCAACCAAGCAGACTCAGCCTGAGTAACCTGCTCTGAAGCCAGAAATGGGTGAAGATCATCTGCCAATAACAGAACCTCCAAGGATATTGTAAAAATTAAATAGTACTCCATTCAGTTCGTCTTAGTTTTATTCCCACATAAGTCTATACCATTTGATTTATCCCCATGTGACTTCTCCATTGCCTGGTCAGTTAGTATCTGTGTATTCATCACATGATAAATGCAGAAAGGGTCAATCTAGACATAATACCACAGCAAAAATTCCGATATCTACTAAAATCACCAATTATAACGCTGTCCAATTGATTCTTGACATGTGCAATTGGGCCCAGAAAAAATAGCTAGAAGTTTCACCTCAGAAGCTGAATTTTGCATCCCTAGTCATATTCTGCTTTTTGCACTTCGTATGAAATTATGGCATTGCGATAATTTTAGTGTGCACATTTTACTGATGAAGAAACTGAGGTTGAATGTGTATAATTTTCAGCGCAACGCAACTTGCAAATTTATTCAGGCCTCAGGATCTGTCATGTTTTAGAATTGCTTTTATCTTCCTCCTCCTTTTTAAACACAGAGTCCATAAGACACAAAGCTGATATGAAAGTATACGTTGCAATGCCCTTTGGACACTGATTGCAGTGCTAAGAGCAAAAGGGGCTTCAGTAAAAAGATCTCAAGTAGACTTTGGAGAACTACTACCAATCAGAGCAGACCCAAACTTATGTCCTCCAGGTGCCCTAGATTCCAACCCCCTGAATTCCCATTGAGAATGGCCTTTGAAAAAGCTGGGGATTGAAACCCAACATTAGAAGGTTGGAGAATGCTGGAGGAGCTCACCTTGGTCCCTGTGGACCATTGATTTGATCTGGCCCCAGGCAGCTTCACACCCCATTTCAATCACACAGGTGTATTTGGCTGTGCCAGTGCATTCACAGACTTGGGCCCACTAGGACAGTGAGGGGGACAGGCCTGTCCTCACATGCATCTGTTAATGAGGTTGGTTGAGCAAGAAGACTAGGGAGTTTGCTAGAAGATGGGCTTCTATTGCTTTATATCTACCATAATACAAACATTACAAGCCATGCCTACTTGACTTTCTAGGGTGACTGTGGTAAACCAGGAAGTCCCGGAAATCCTGGCCGACCTGGAGCTGAGGTGAGTTATCAGCGTCCAGCCAAAAGTGAATTGAGGTGTGCGGGATCCACTCCTGAGACTGATTCTGTACATGTGTTCGCCTGGACTTGGAACTGACTCAGCAGTGGGAGGTCTATGCATATGTGGAAGTGAGTTCCTGGGTCTCCTTTCATTGTCATAGTATACTGCGAGTAAGAAACAGAACTCATCTGCAGAGTAGATGAAGGATGGAAACATACAAAAATATACAGATGGCTCCGTTCATGATACTTTCAGTTGTGTTCCATGGGACGAAGGAAGTGGGCTGGAATTAGCAAGATGTTGGGAGGAGAGCAAAGTTAAACCACAAGATTAATTCCTCCACTAGTAGTTTTCCTTAGTTCCCTTGTACCTGTAAGTACAGGTGTGTATGTGAATGTAGAGAATGGGGGACCCTGATGCAGCAGCAATCTTCACTACAAAGCTTCCTCCTAGATAAGCTTGTGCCATGCAGATTATTATGTTATGCAGACACAGAATAGGTGCTATGCCAAGGGAAGAAAGCTTGCCGTGCAAGCGTATGCTTTGCAGAAGTAGATGCAACCAGGGATCAGTAGACAAGGCACAGTCCTGTGTACATGGCTCAAAACATTCTTGTTTCAGCGCTATGGAATTGATTACCATAGTCACCACTTGCCCAAGAAGTCCTTGGCAATGCATCTATATAACTTGCTCCAAGGATCTCTCAACAGAGACGTGTATTCGCTCTAACGTTCTTTTCCTTCTCCAGGGGGAGCCAGGTCCTCTGGGGCCTCAAGGTAGACCAGGCCCTCCTGGACATGGTGTAAGTCAAAATACTCTTTCTTGGGTTTTGGATAAGCAGATTTATAGCTGGGTGGCTAAGGTGTCCATAAAGCGACCAGGTCAGGCTTCTGAACCCCTGCTAAAACCAGGTACTGCTTGGCATAAAAGCCAAAATATAAATCCCAACTGTTAAATTCTCAGTTTGTGCTGTTTCGGCCCTCCCTGAATTCCCATTTTTTCAAAATTGGTAATTCTAATTAAAAAAAAAAAAAAGCACCATTCACAGTTTAGTTTTTAAATTACCTAAATTGGAAAACACACACACACACACCAAACATATTCCACAGAATTAACAGGCAGTCCTGAAGATATTCAGAATAAAATACTCCACTTGCAGATTCTATTCCCAATCCAGGGATTAAAAATTAGTCACTCCAAAGCTGGATGGAAACTGTTAAACTTCAGTTATTGCAAGTAACTTGTTCTGTACATTTCAATGCAGCTTAATCTCAGCTGGACTGATATTTAGAAATTCATGTTCCACTTTATCCACTGAATAGTCTTTGCCAAATCTTAATTCTATAGCTCTCAATCCATCTGTAATTAGGCATCAACTGGAGTATACTTGTGAAGCATTTTGGAAACCCTTTCCTTTAATAAGGAATAGAAACCCTAACATTTGCACATTAGAATTTTAACCAGAGCCAAACTAGACAGCACAGACCACTGTGTTTGCTTACTCAGAGCTGCCATATTCACACCTTCACATCTGGGGACTTCTGATTCCTCCACTGGAAAGGGATGTGGGGTAGCAGGAAGCTAAACAGCCCCCTGCCTTAATTGGCCATGTGCGATATGCTTCTCTGCAGCCCAAGGCAGGCTGGGTGAAGGATACCTGGGCAGATAAGAACAGAGATTTAAGAAGGGAGAGACCAGGTTGCCCCTCACTTAAATAACATTTGTGATGTGAAAATCAGATACCTTCTGAGAACAAGAAATCAGTTTCTTGTTCAGACTTAACGTGTGAACAAGAAACATGGCTACTCCAGGTTTATCTCCCTTCTATTCAGTGAATGTCCTGACATGGTGAATGAATATTTCTGAGCGTTCTAAAGCTGTACCCAAGAGAACTTTTTAAAGATGGCTGTTTAGATGTCCATTGCTAACTCTACTGCGAATAATTCATTTTGGATTTATTTTTTATACATGAAAGACAGAGGGAGGCTCACTGGGGAAATGCTCATTGGTGACAGGTGTATCTATATTCTTACATCCTTCTGCAATTTTCTCTGCCTGTTCAGGGTCCACCTGGAAGCCCTGGCCAGCCTGGTCCATCAGGTCTTGCTGGAGTTGTGAGTATCCTCCCTGCTCTTCTTGGTTCTTAACTAACCTCAGGCTCTGAGCCTCTTAGGTCTGATCCAGCGCCGATCCTCTTCACTTCTGAATGGAGCCAAAGAATAGGAATCATTCATTCTTGGAGCTTGGAAACCTGTCCCCATTGGAACCCTTTCCCATTTCTTTGCAAGATGGGGAATCCCTACCTCCAAAACCATTTCCAACCAAATAAGAAAATGATCTGATTGTCTCCAGGAAACTTTCACTGGAATTGTCAATTGTTAAGATGCCATTTTAGAAGGTTACTTTATAACTTGGTATTACACTGCAGAGTGTGCAGTTGCTCCCAAGAAGAACTTCCCATCCTTCCCCAACCAGATGGGTCCAGACATCCTGGATTGCAGTGCCCATCTTCTTAGCCACCCCAATCCCAGGGGCCAAGGAGGATGCAGTCCAGTACATCTAGAGACTGCCATGTTGGGAAAAACTAACATCTAGCAAAATAGAAATGCTCTGTGCTGCTCGGCCAACATTTTTCTAGCACTTGGCTAAATATTTCGCCATGAATTTTTCTGGATGTAGGGTGAGACTGGCTCCTCAAGACTTGATGAAGAAAGACCTTTGTCCCTGTCCCCACTGCCAAGTTCACCTCTGCTTTCTTTCCAGTGAAGAAGCAGATGTGTGGAAAGAAGCATGCCAGAAAGTTGCCCACACTTGTCTATGTATACAGAAGCAGCCCCTCTGCCACAACTGGAAGGGGCACCTTGATGCTCTTCCACCACAATGAATCCCAGAGCAGTCATGCATTGGGAAGAGTGCTGTGGAGCCTGTCATCTGAAGGAGTTGCCACAAAGCTTTGCCTTCCAGCAGCATCTCCTTGGTTGCCTCCAACAGTTTCTGATGCCGACTCTCCTCTTTCCAGGGTCAGAAAGGTGAGCGGGGATCTCCTGGAGAAAGAGGCCTCAGTGGGCTCCCAGGCCAGCCAGGAACACCAGGTCACCCTGGTCCACCGGTGAGTGTGGCATGATGGAGTCAACATGCTTCAGAATCAATCATAAGAGGAGCTTGTGGGAAAATGCTCTTATTGAGGATAGATGGATGGGTGTACGGATGGTTTGTAATGGTCCCTAGTCTTAATTCTTAATTCTTTGTGCAATATTAGGCCAAGAGACACACAAAGAGGCTAATAACTAAGCCAGTATTTGAATTTGGACCCATTAGTAGAGAAATGAAAATAACATCCTCTTTTTCTCTTATTTTCTTGTTGATTCCTAGGGTGAGCCAGGCTCAGATGGACTGACAGGCAAAGAGGTATGGTGTCTCTTATCTGTATCACCTTCCTGAATAGAAGATTCCTTCTTTACCCACCATCTCAGAACCAAACATGGGAATGGCCCACTGTAGCAATGGAGGAAGCCACCTACATGTTCACATTATTCATTCACACACGTGGGCAAGATGGACCAGGGACAGAAAGAAGAGTGCCCTTCTTTCGATGGCTTGCCCAGGGGGAAAAAGCTTTAGCCCATTTTTTCCCAATCCCAAAACTCTTCAAGGCCATTTCAGCTATTAACCATGATAATCTTGCGGCAGCAAGATTCCTGAGATAAGTGGTGTATTCTGCCACAGATGCGAACTGTTTCTTGGGAGTCAGCCCTTGGCATGCTCTGGTTGGCCCACCTTGCATGTACCTCCAACTACTGCATTCCCTCCCTTTGCACACGACTTTCTCTGCTTCCTGGAAGTTAACTTCCAATGCTTCCTTTCTAATGTTACACTGTGATGGTGGGGAGCAATGGGCAAGGAGCACCTCCTATATAGGACAGGTGAAAGGCTTCAAGTCAAGTGGTAGGATGTGGGCCATTTGATGGGACAAAAGTGGCATTAAGCTAACTCTCTCTTCCACTCAAATGCATTATGCGTATTTATCACTATGTTGAAGACTTCTACTTACTTTTCCATAGGGGTCTCCTGGAAAACAAGGTCTTCCTGGTCTTTCTGGACAGAAAGTAAGTGGGACACCTTTGGGAGTGAATGTCAGCCTCTTCTCCCATGATGACCTTTCATGGACTTGTCCTCTTTCTTCTTTCAGGGGGACCATGGCCCTCAAGGGGAGATGGGGCACCCTGGAGAGAAAGGCAGAGCAGGGGTGCCAGGAGCCCCAGGAAAAAGCGGCGAAATGGGCCCTATGGGACCACGTGGGTCCCCTGGGGAGAGAGGACAGCCTGGTCCACCTGGCCCCACGGGGAACCCTGGGAACCCAGGATTGCCGGGGACATCGGTAAGAACTAAGGCAAAGACAATGAGGAGGACAGTGGAAGGAAGGGTGATGGGTGCAATGCAACAAGGAGCTGAACTGGTCAGTCCTCTGTAATGCCAACATTTTGGTTCAGTCTAAAAGTAGATGCAGTTAGAGGAGATGTCTATCTTGTTAGATGGGCTCTAGGATGTACCACCAGTGGATGGTACTTACTTGAAAGAGACCTTCACACAACTTCACTGATGTGCAAGGTGCCAAAAAGTGCTTAGGCATTTTGAAGAACCAAGTGGTGCAACTGAGTGGGGAACACTCCAAGTTCAAATTCCCCTTGGCCATGACATCACGGGCCCGACCTTTCTCAGCTTCTCCAACAATTCAGAACTGCTGGGGAGTCACAGTGCAGTTCAGAGCTTCCTAGGATGCAAATGCCACCACTCCAACGTACAAGGTTGCCAAACGGGAATCCTGCCTGTTGTTAAGCAGGGGAGGGGTTGCTTGTCCAGTATCCGTGACTGAGGAGCCCCAGAATGTCCCACAAAGCATTGCTTCTCAAGGATGGGAGGAAGTTAAAATACCAGCATGCTGAAAGATTGATAGTTGTAGTCCCCAGCAGCCCACTCTTTCTCCCAGGGAAGGAATAGGTGTGGAAGGAAGAAGATGGTGGGGCCCACTGCTGGCAGTTTGTCAACAGCAGCTTCAGTCCTGAAAGATTTCCTGGAGCTTGGGAGAAGGCTGCATGTTGGGCACTGGGTGAAGCTGAGCACATGACAGCAATCAAATTGGACAGCTTTACATGCCAGACAAGAAGGCAGCTGACTTCTGCTTTCCTTCTTCCTTGTTTTTTATCACCAGGGAGATGTCATCAGCTATGACCAAATCCGGATGTTCATCAGAGAAGAGATGCACAAAATGTTTGATGGTTGGTGATGGGAGTGGATTGAGGGCAGGGGGAAGCACCAAGTGGGTTGCAGGGGCAGGTTGGAGACCTGAGAAAACCAAGCAGTTAGCCAGATGGGCAGGAAATGAGGCAGGTTGGGATTTGGAAGCCGAGAGCATTTCCTGCCCCAAACTCCACCACAGAGAAGGTCATTTCAGTTCTGATCTATTTTGTTTTTTCTGCCTCGGACATCCACAGGGCCAGAGCAGACTTGGTCTTGTAAGCTTCCTTATCATAGCATCCATGCCAGAAACCCCAAGCATCCTTGTTTGCATTAGGCCTACAAAACCCTACAGGGAAAACTCTGAATTTGCATGCAGTTTAGATCCTTCTTCTAAGGAGGCTTTCAGAATCCTTGCTACATGGGCCCCTCTGCCCAGGAGTGGGGTCCAAAGAGTCAAGAAGGAGGCCACAGCTATGTAATCAAAGCCTCGCTCCTTTTTACATGTATCCACACATTAAAAGGGGGTGAAGCTTCCATCTCATGTTCACAGACACCATCTTGAATTTTCTGATCACTTCCCTGCAGAACCCCTTGCCACTCTACCTGATAAATGACTTTTTTTAAAAAAAATCAATAATATCCAATACCCCAGCTTCCCCAAGCGGCTTTCTTTCTTTTCTTTTTTTTTCTTTTAACAGTTCAAGAGAAGAAAATAAATGAAAGCTAGCAATAGGCCGATCAGGGTCAGAAGCCAGATATATTCCTCCAGCCTCTATCTTTTTCAGCGCCCCCCAGGCAGTCTTGAAAATACAAATAAGCAAAAGGAGAAAATGCTGAGAAAAGCCCTCTTCGGCAAGGCTGTTCTAGGCTCCCATCTCAAGTGTGGAATTGAGAATTTCTCTCAATAAGCCTCTTATTTGTGATCACATGACCCAGTTGACCAGGAGGACGTATTTTAACCACAAGTACCCCTAGGCCTGCTATGAATTAAAACTAACCCTCTCCTGACCCATCATTCCTGCCAACCAGACTGGAAATGGACTGAAAGATGTTGCGGTAAACTGAAACATTACAATTTCAGATAATAAAACCATTAACGATAAAGACAAAACAAGATTGCAGAAGCAGTCCTAATCAATAGTTTGTATAATTCCTGAAGGAGGTCAGCTATAAAAATACAGGTGCGCCCAGGGAAGGTTATATTAATTGTTTTATTTGTTAGTTTATTTTCTGGAACCAGAAAAACCAAGAAAGTTGCAATGGTATCTTTGTTGGTAATAGTTTGCCTTTAATGTCTCTCAGAAAAGGAAATTGCCACTTATTTATTTATTTGTTTGTTTGTTAAATTTGTATGCCACCCATCTCCCCCAAGGGTGACTCTTAACTTAACTTAACCAAACTTAACTTAACCAAACTTAACTTAACCAAACTTAACTTAACCAAACTTAACTTAACCAAATCAACTTTTCAACAAGCTTCTCAGGGGAACATGTGTCCTTCCAAAGACTCTTTTCAGGCTTCTCCTCCTCCTGTTTTTATCCAGCTGCTATGGAGAAGGCCCCTCTCCCAGAAAAGCAGCCTTTCCCATTTCTTCACCCCACCAGCCCCTGTCCACCCCTTCATCAGCAAAGCAAACCACCAGCTCCCTTCTCGTCCCGCAGAGCGGATGCCGTACTACGCTCCCCGACTGCCGGTCTCAGCGGTAGAATTCGCTTCCCAGCCGGGGAGACCAGGACCGCCTGGTAAAGACGGAGCGCCGGGACGGCCGGGATCTCCTGGTTCCCCAGGGCTGCCTGGACAGATTGGAAGGGAGGGCCGGCAAGGCCTGCCAGGCATGAGAGGTAAGCTTTGTAGTTCCTCCTCCTGAGAGAAATAGCCTTAGAGATGGTCTTTGAAGGACCCTCAGGGGGTTCCACTGCACAGCAGAGGCAGCTTGGACCTTGACTGGGTTTTCTACGGCTTAGCATGCTCTGCAAACCCAGCTGGCCTGGCTAGTTAGGGCCGTAAGGTTTGGTGTGAATTTAGGAAATGGGTTAAATCAGAAGCCAGGTTAAGCACATGACAACTCAGCCAGTAGGTTCTTGTCACCTTGAGGACAAATCAGCAGGGGAAAGTGGCCCCCAAAATTTGGAGGGGTGGGTGGGATGTGCCTAGGCTTTCTAGCTTTGTCCCAGCAGCTTTCTGAGATGACTACTTAATCCCAGTTGGGCAAGGATGTGATCACATCTATCCATTCCAGAGAGGTACAAACAAGACTCTTCACAAACCATTTCAGAAGCCGCCTGATGCTCTCAGTTAGGGGAGGTGTTGGTCAACTCACTTTTGTGTTTTCTCCCTCGGTGCAGGTGAGCCCGGAATCAAAGGAGAAAAAGGAGACAAAGGGACTGGAATCATGGGGGAGACTGGACCACCAGGCCCTCCAGGTATCTGTGGCTTTCCTCTGATGCAATTGCAGTTAAATTGGTCTTCCTTTCATCACTCCTTTGCTTTTATAAATCACTGAGACCCACAGCGTGCATAGAATTCAAATTGCTGGTCCTTCTGCAGACCAGACCTCACCATTCAGAGTCTTACTATATTCAGCAAGCCAAGGTTGCTGAATATCCTTATTCAGAAAGCAGCTTCTTCCTGTCGGTGTTGTTGCTTCCTTTAGCATTTTTAAACCATTGTATTATGGTTACTTTCATGGTCATTGAAAGGGATGGAAAAATCCATCCGTTAGGTCTACTGTATACCACTAGTGAAATGGGGAACCTGCTCTTATTAGCAACTGGAAAAAAGAAGAGAGTCTGGTGGCTTACTCCAGCTCAGTGAACCTAGAAGAGAAGGCCAAACTTCTCTCCACGTTCCGTTAAGCATACCTGGATCAGTTCCAACTTTGTAGCACAGGAGGTGGAAGTATTGTTCTGGTTACCCAAAGTAGTAGCTTGTTCATAAGTTTTGGAGCAGGCTAATGTGATTTCGTCGGTGTTGCTGGTAGGACTAAAAATTGAAACATTCAGGTGGTGTTGGAGGGTCAGCATCAGTTCTGCTACGGACTGAGACCTTCAACAGCAATACCAGCCCATCTGGCTCAGGGTTGAGATTTGTAATAGGTTGAAATCAGCATCCCCTGAAGACTTTCCTCACAAGGAAACAACCCTCCCCAGCACACCTTTCCCCAACCTGGAGACTCTTCAGGTGTATGGACCTCACTTCCAGAATCCTTAGGAGTGGAGAATTTGGGGAGTTGATGTCTACCCATCTGGAGGACATCCTTGTGGGGAAGGCTTCTCCAATGCTTTCTAAAGGTTCAGGAAAGTAAAGACATGCGTAAGCCGCAACAGTGCTTGAATCTCACATGGCTTCCCTCCCCTTCTGGTTCTCTTTTCTTCTCTACAGGGATCCAGGGGCCTCCAGGCTATGGGAAAATTGGTCTTCCAGGGCCCATGGGGCAGCAGGGTATTCCAGGCATCCCAGGGCCACCAGGAATTACTGGCCCTCCTGGGAAAGCAGGTCACTGCAATCCTTCAGACTGTTTTGGCATGATACCGATGGAGCAGCCCATGTACCAGCCCAAAAGCATGAAGGGGCCGTTAGGCTAAAGAGTTTCCTTTCCCCCCCACAAAGGACTCCATTTGGAATAGCCAAAGATCAAGTCTTCCTGACTAGCTGTGATGATGCTTTCATTGTTGTTAATATTTTGACTATATTTTTCTCCAGTGGAGTTCAACTTCTTACCATGATGGCATTTTTTTTTAAAGAACAACCAGGATATCTATGTCTGTGTGTGTGTGTGTGAGAGAGAGAGGATTTGTGCGTGTGAATGTCTCCATATTCTGACTTAAGTTTATCCATGGTCAGCAAAATACACTTCAAAACAAAACTTCAACCTCTCCCTTGTTGATGGGAAGATCCTGCACATTGTTTTCATGCCTCATTAGGAATTATTATTATTTCTACAACGTAGGCAGAATCTGTTGAAAAATTCAAGAAAATATGCAAAGGGGGAGAAAGAAAGGGGGAATGCTACGGTTTAACTCCAGTTTCAATTGGATTTTCCCTTTTGGCATGAGTTATAATGGAAGTCTGGAAGGTGAGAGATGAGAAGTTCCAAAATGGAATTGGTAGGACAAAGCTGCATGTCTTTGTTCTATCAGTTCCCTCCAGATCTGTTTAGAGTCCAACCAGCAGGACCATTGCAAATCAGGAAGCTGTCACCTAACATATAGAGAGAGCACAAGCTGGGAAAGTCTGCCCTATCTAGTATTTAAACACCTCTCTTGGAGTAAATTGCACAACTAAATCCAGTGAGATTGACTTCAGTAAATATACATGAGATTGTACTGAAAACACGTCATTTCGTAGCTTGGAGACATTTCCCCCCTAATTGGAAATGTAAACGTGGGAACAAAGATTAAAATATTAAACATGGTTGTGTCCTTGGAGGGTAAAAATCTAAGAAGCTCCTGAAGCTTAAAAAAAAAAAATTAAAAAAAGTTGTGTGGTATTTCGGATGCGTGCATGGAGGTATCATCTTATGGTGTAATTACTTTTCCAGATGTCCAACATACTGTTTTCTTCCTGTTGTACGAAATGTGTGGGACCATGTACTTCCTGGAATTAATTAATGTTTCTTGAATGTTCCTGTTTTGTTTTTTGTTTTTCATTTTTTATCAAATATATTGAGCTTCATCCAAACCAGCACCTACTTCTAGTTGCTCATACATCTGGGCATCAGAAGTGGGAGATCTTGGAGGACTTGGAGCAGACGAGACGAAAGGAGACCGGGGTGAGAGGGGTCACTGTCTGTGGCTAAGATGACCTCCCCGTGGGCAATTGTGGAGGGAGTGAACGACATCGCACGCCTGGGGACATCTTCACACAAATGGCCTAAATTATCTTATTTGCACGGATACAAATTACATAATTCACGTCATTTGCACGATGACCTCATGACACACGTGATGTTGTTGTTGCTTGTAGCAGACACCTGCAACTTCATCTGATCACAGCAAAGGAAAAAAAAAAATCTTTGCTTAACCCCCCCACTTTGCCCCCAAGGGATCTGAAAGATCTTCCTTCAGACTTCAAATCAGGGGCCTTCAGAAACTGGAACTGGAAGCAATTTAAGCTGTTTATGCGGCCACACAGACCCATCTATCAACTCTCCCCAGACTTCCCCCACCCTGGGCACAGGGATTGTGTGAACACCCCATTACACACCATGTGCCCCTCTCATCCTTGGCCCCAAAAGGGTCTCCCATAGAGGAGAGTCTATCTCACATCTGGGCAGTGGATCCCAATAGTTAGTCACCACCGTAACTGTTTCAATAAACGATGCCTTGTTCCCTAATTGGTATCTGCCTCATGTTCATTTCAAGCCACTGATTTCCAGGCCATGTTTGTGTCATTTGGTGAGCAAAGCCCATTCAATCAATGGGCACACAAAAGCAGAGAGGTGTAGGTTAACAACCCCTGTTGGTTCATCGTGCAGCTTTGCTCGTTGATTAAAACAAGGGGTTCTCATGAGAAATAATTGCTGCAGTGAGCGGGTTTGCCTCCAGCAATGAAATCATGGTGACCGTGATGGTTCTCTTTGTCATGCCACAGACAGAAACTCTGACTCTGTCTTCGAATGAGCTCTAACCAAACTCCAGGCTCTGCTAGCCAAACAGGGTCTGATGTTCTTCCCCTTAGCTCCTTGTGGTGCCAATGGCAGGGTCAGCCCACACAGCAACAACTGCCTTCATCCCAAGTGCTTCGGAGCGGTCTCTTTGGCCCTACCAAGATCTTCTCCTCTTTATGAATGTCCGTCCCTCTTCTCTTCCTCATCCTGCTGCTGCTCACCATTTTGCAAGGGCAGAAGATAAGTTCCTGAGGAACATGGTGACAGCTTCTTCTCCCGTGACAAGGCTACTGGCCAAAAGGCCAAAGGCCTTCTTTCCTAGGGGAAAGAAAGAGCAAGAGCAGATGGTCCTGCTCCTATGTCAGGCAGCCGCCACAGAGCAATATCCAGCAGAGATGTTCAAGCTTCAGAGAAAATACTTGTAATTACTCCTTCAAAGGGGTATCATAAGGCTGATTCATCAAGCTGGAAATTCTCTGCGAAAACGTGGCTTGCTGCAAATGGATCAGAAAAGACCACTCGCAAATTCTTGAAGGTCATACTTCAACAGCTGAATCATCGTTTCCAGACTGGAAAATACATATGATATGAAGGGAACCAGAGACAGATTTTTTAAAACGTGAATTGGCAATTTTGGAGACAATAATTTCACAGATGTCACCAACATTCTTTAGCCATCAGTTCAGGTTTGATGCCTCTTTCTTCCATTTTCTCTCTCTCTCTCTCTCTCTCTCTCTCTCTCTCTCTCTCTCTCTCTTAATAGGGATTATCCACTTAGTTGGAAAAGTCCAGAACAAAAACACAGTCATCCAGTGGCGTGGCTACTCCATAGCATTTCACTCCCATAGGCTTAGAGGAGAAGCTGCTTCAACAGTGACAATGGCATTAATTGCCCCTCCATACTCCCTTTTTCACCACCCCCACCCCAATTCACTGCTTTGCAAATGTCTATTAACTCACATCAGAAACCCACTATTTTCCCCCTTCAAATTTTGCTCTGCACCTCCTCTTTTCCATTGCGAGGAGGAGAGTATTTGTCTATGTATGTGCAGAGGTGAGTAATGTACCTGCCTGTATCTGCTCTTAAAATATTGCTCCTATATATGGACTAATGCAGATTCTGAGGAGAGGAACAAACTCCATGAAGCAATTACCAACTTGTAGCAGATAAGATCCAAATTATTATTCTCAGTAATTATTGTTGTGGGACTATTTCCTTGCCCATTCAGTTGCCTTAGCGGGCTAGATGACTCCAATCAAAGATTTCATTGCAAATAACAGCTAATTTCAATGTTGCAAAACACCAGAACACCAATACTCTGATAAGTGTCCAGAGTTGTGCACTTAATATGTGCAAGTACGTTGGTTTGTTTGTAAAGGTTACTGGCAGGTGTGTGAAATAGCTGCAGGTATATACTGTAAATGGCAAAGAGAGCCAGTTTGGCTTAGTGGTTAAGGTCAGACTAGAAATGGGGAGACGCCTTAGGCTTGAAAGCCGGCTGGGTGACTTTGGGCCAGTCCCTCTCTCTCAACCCTAGGAAGGGGGGGAAAGGCCAAACCACTTCTGAAAAGTGTTGCCAAAAAAACTGCGGGGACTTGTCCAGACCATCCCCAGCCACCAAGACTGACTTGAAAGTCTTATATATACACACATATAAATGGACAGAGCTACTGAGCTGAGCAGGGCAAGTAAATACAACCATTTCTGTCATGATACAGCCACAGGTTTGGAGATCAAGGACTGGGGGGGGGGGGGGGGGGGCAATAAAACCTGAAACAATATAGACACGCACCACATCTGGGACAGCGACTACATATTGTGAAAGATGACTCGCTTGCGGACAGATTGTGTGAAAATGGAGAGAGCATGGCACGTCCACATCCAGATGAATTTGTAACTGGATATTTTGGGGTCCTTGCAGTATCTTTTCCAGGAGATCGCATGGCAGACAGTGAATCTGGTTGTCTGCTGGACCATTCCAGCTGTTACAGCAAACCCTCAGTTTAATGGACTTTAGATGCAGTGGACCGAATTTGTCTAAACAGTGTTTCTGTGCATATGTAACATCCTATTTGGGTTTAATAGGAATTCTGCTTTACTAGGCACGCTTCCTTCTTTCAGTCCATCAGATGACAGGCCTACTGCAGTTGCAAACCTCGACTTTTATAAAATGGGTGACCTGCTCCTGAACAGAAATAAATCTGGAGAAGGGATTTGTGATAGATCTCCTGCCTTGGAGGAAATAAAAGGTAACATCTCCCCTCGAGTCAAGCCCAGTTCCTGATCTTAAGTGGACATGCCCACACTGGGATTTTTGGAAACGAGACAAGAGGGGCTGGCTTTTGCCTTCTTCCAATCCAGGCCACAGGCCTGGGACTTTTCCAGTGGTCTCCCATCCTATTGCTAATTAGGTTCAAGCCTTCTTTTCAAAATCCCCCCAGGTCACCAAGGTGCTCTCCTGCTGTGACCTTAGAGGAGGAGGGGTGAGTTTCATCATAACTTTCATTTAGGGCAGTCCAGTTATAGCTACTAAAACAAACCCTTGACAAAAGTTTGAAAGGCCAGCTCTGGGGATATTGAGAACAGGCTTCGCCGAACGCAACTGGAAGGCGACCTCCAGAGGCTTGTATTTCTGCAGGACTATCTGTCACTGCAGTAGAGGAGCCACAAATCTTTGCCTGTGGAGTCCCATTTAAGGCACACGCTACACAAGCATTATTTTTATGTCTGAATTACTATCCAGCGGAATGGGAATAAATAACAGGGCGGCCCAAGGGTGTTATTTCATCCAAGAAGCAGGAGCCAGAAGTATCGCTCGTTATAAGCAACCCACAAGCCTGAGCAGAAAGAGGGGAGACAAAACCCGCGGATAACAATCTGACTTGAAGAAACCGTTTTACTGGCAGAAAAGAGGGATGTCAGAGGCTGAGGATGAGCGAACTCCTTTCAAGGCATCGTTACGGAAGTTCACCGGGACACAAAATGACGCCATCCTGACTGCATAAAGTACTAATCAAGACTGCATCGGCTGAGGCTCTGTGATGCTCCCCTAGTTATAGGGTGTGTGCCAAAGCAAATCGTTTTCATCCTGCAACGTTTTCCCTCTTCCCTATTCTTCCTTGATGTCAGAGCTATAATTTCCTGATATTTCATTGCTGTTCCTTATACGACTGTTGAAAACCCCACTTTCTCTCTGCCCAGATAACCACTATGCCCAAATGTAGCCTGCAGCTTCTCAAAAGTTTACTTCTCCTGCAAAAGAGAGTTCTGTATTTCTACACTGCTCTTTCAAATATTTCTTGGTGCTGTTCCAGAGTTCGTTTTATTTTATTGAAGGGGCTGGAAACATCTTTTGCTGTTGATGTTTTCTTGGATGGATGGATGGATGGATGGATGGATGGATGGATGGATGGGAGGGAGGGAGGAAGGGAGGAA